CACTCTGTTTCTAGAATGAATGGGATAGAAATGTTTGAGGAATGCCTTAGCTAGGTGAAGAAGTCCTTAGAGGTAAACCTCACACGCTAAGTACAGAATATAGAAGAACCTAAATTACTAATGCTTGGAGATGTATCAGAGCCCACTGACTTGTCACTGAAACAGATGAGGGGACACTGATGGCTTAAGGTTTTCAGGGGAATGCATGAGCACTGTGGCTTACAACTGTACAGGTCTCCAAAGAAGGTGAGAAAAGGAAAATGACCAGTGACCAATGGACTGCAGCTGTAAAATCAACTTCCACTGTGACTGTGAGAGTTTTTTATATACAAACCTCACTGAACATCCATGAAGACAAACATGACTAATCATTAAGATCAGAGTGAGGAGAACAGCGACCCCAAACCCGTCAGGGGTGGTGAAGGCAGGTGCCTGGAGGACACAGGAGGGAGGAGGCTGCAAGCCACATAAAGGGCCCCTGTGCGTACTCACAGCCCACCACAGTGACACCTGGTTCCTACCAACGCTATCATAGGGTTCAGGCCTCCCCATCTCCTAACCTGTGGCCACTGACTGTTCTTTGTCCTGTTGGTATCAGATCTGAGGCTTGCAATGTAGGGGAGGAAAAGATCTCTTATGAAAGCAAATGAACACAATTTAGAAGTGCCAGGAAGGCAGGTGGGGACCATCTAGAGACGCAGGGAAGACACTGTCCCCCAGGTGGGAGCAGGTAAAGTAAGGGGACAATTTCAAGTCCCAGATTTCCCTACAGTTATAATGTATACAGATTCACAGTGGCAGTTTGTGATTCCTGTAGGTGTGCAAGGTGAGCACGCAGGAAGCTTCCCCATCTTGCAACCTCGTGGCTGACAAGCAGGGCGAACTCCCTCTGGCTGTATAGTAATTTCCTCCCTCTGGTGTTGGGGCACCAACAGCCTGCCTTCTTTAGGGTATAATCAATGAAAGGCAGATTATAGCTTGTGCTTCCTACATAATTACGTTTTTGTTCTAAAACTAAAACTTTTATCTAAAAGTTTGGATAAAAAGTTATTTATGTGTAAATATTC